TGAAATTAAACTTAATTCATACACATCTATACACACAATTTAAAAGAAATGTTATACAATATTTTAGTGAGCCTATATCATTGTTTCTTGTTTGCTTTGATTTGTTTTGATTTTTAAGACAGGGTCTCTTGTGTTGCCCAAAGAACACAACCTATTTGAGTCAAAAAAATAAAATGGTACATTAATTAGCCCACAGTTGCATAATGCAGTACTCCAGTTTTTCTTGGAAATATCAATGATAATGATAATAATGATAATAATGTCATTTGATAACACAAAAAGAATATTCATTCTTTTACTCTCCAACAAATATTGTATGATCTGAGTACACAAGAGGAAGTCTGTATAAACATGGAACCTTCTCAAAAATTGACCATATACTTGAAAACATATCAAATCTCAACAGGTACAAAAAAATGGAATAACTCCATGCACCTTATCAGACCACCACGCGTTAAAATTAGAATTCAACAACAACACAAATTGCAGAAAACTTACAAAATCATGGAAGTTGAATAACACAAAATTACACCATTCCTGGGTCAATGAATAAATAAAAAAATTAAAAACTTCCTAGAATTCAATGAGAATGATGACACAACATATTCAAACTTGTGGGACACTTTGAAAGCAGTGCTATGAGGGAAGTTCATAGCACTAGGTCAATGGAATTCCTGCAAGATCAGTAACAAGGCAAGGCTGTCCACTCTTTCCATACCTCTTCAATATTGTACTTGAAGTTCTAGCTAGAGCAATATGACAACAAAAGGAGATAAAGGGGATACAAATTGGAAAGGAAGTAGTCAAACTTTCACTATCTGCAGATGATATGATAGTTTACATAAGTGACCCAAAAAACTCCACCAGGGAACTCCCGCAGCTGATAAATTCTTTCAGCAAAGTGGCAGGATACAAGATCAATTCAAGAAAATCAGTAACCCTATTACATACAGATAATAAAAGGGCTGAGATAGAAATAAGAGAAACATCGTACTTTACAATAGCCACAAACAACATAAAATATCTTAGGGTATTTCTAACCAAACAAGTGAAATACCTGTATAGCAAAAATTTTGAATCTTTAAAGAAAGAAATTAAAGAAGACACCAGAAGGTGGAAAAATCTCCCATGCTCTAGGATAGGTAGGATCAACAAAGTAAAAATGGCAATCTTACCAAAAGCAATCCCCATTAAAATCCCAGTACAATTCTTCACAGATTTTGAAAGAACAATAATCAACTTTGTATGGAAAAATTAAAGACCCAGGATAGACAAAACAACCTTATTCAACTAAGCAACATCTGGAGGCATCACCATCCCTGACTTAAAGCTCTATTATAGAATTATAGTCCTTAAAACAGCTTGGTGTTGGCACAAAAATAGACAGGTAGACCAATGGAATCAAATTGAACACCGTGATATTAACCCTTACATGAATGAACATCTGATTTTCGACAAAGAAGCTAAAAATATACAATGGAAAAAAGAAATCATCTTCAACAAATGGGGCTGGCATAACATGTTATGCCAGCACCATTATGTAGAAGAATGCAGATAGATCCATGTCAATTGCCATGCACAAAACTTAAGTTCAAATGGATCAAAGACCTCAACATAAATCCAGCCACACTGAACCTGTTAAAAGAGAAAGTGGGAGGCACCCTTGAACGAATTGATATAGGAGACTTAAAATGCAAGAACAGTATGGCAAAGTAAAACCCAAATGCTGTGAAATATGGTGCTTGTCAATAATTATCCAAACTTAGAACTCAAATGCACAGTTCAGGGCCCAATGTGCTCTCCATACTTTGGCAATTGTAAATAGCCACAAGCACCCTTTAATGGTGAGCAGTGTCAGAGAAGACATCCTTAGCCAATGTAAGATGAAGCAGACGTGTGACTGATTTTAACCTGAAGTGGCAGGATACACATAAGAATGATGGATGTACCATTCTCATTGAAAGACGTATACAGTTTGGAAAGGTGAGCTGGAACCAAACTATTGAGAATGAAGAAAGAAATAGAATGAACATGGAATATGTGAGATATGAGGGAAATATCAACAGTAAAAACATCTTAATGCACTCGGAAATTTTAGCTATATCACATTCTCTGCTCCACTGTTTTCCTCATGTCCAGTTCTTTACAATTTTACAATCGATTTTATTTACCATGTACTGTTATATTCCTATGGGTCAGACCTTGATTTTATTGACAGACCAGAATTTATTGACAGAATAAATTATATCAAGGTCTGACCCATAGGAATATAACTAATCTATTCTGTCAATAAATTCTGTAAAACTCCAATGTAGTCTTATATAACTAACAAGAATTACAGATATATATTACAGATATATATATATATATTGTATATCCCAAATGCTTATTTACTTGTTGCAGAGATCATAGTTTTAGAAATACTGATGATCAGGCCAAAAGATAAAGAAATAAATATGACTACTCCCTGGCATAACACAAGTGAGTCATATTTTAAAAGTTGGTTATATGTGATGCATGTATGTATGCATGTGTATGCTTATTGATATACATTTATATTATCAATTGGAGAAGCATTTGAAATATTTCCAGAAGGTGACTTGGGTTATTAATGGTTACTGAACTCAGACACTCAGAAAGCACCTTTGTGTGTGTGAACATAGAAGTCCAATCTTGTCTTCATTATACTTCTTCTACATAACAATGAACAAGGAAAAACTTCAGGATTCCTCTGTCCTGTTCCCTTTCCAATAGTCCATAATTTAAAGATTTTGTCAAAGAACAATGCTGTTCGTTCACTACAAACTTTTTTCAAGGGGCTTGTTCAGGAAAGTTTGGCTTTCTTACTTCTCAGGTTGTACATCAAGGGGCTCTGCATGAGCACACCAGTATATGAACAGCGCATGGCACTTGACCTTGACCCATGGAGCTGACTAATGATGACTGAAGTTACGTGAATGCTAATGACACAGAGAGGATAACAACAGCCAAGGTATGGGAGCTGCAGGTGCTGAAGATCTGCCCCCAGAGGACTGAATGCAGAAAATGCTAGCAACGATGAAGTCATAAATGCTAAGGATGGTCAGATCAGGCACAATGGTGTTAAACACACTGAAACACAGAGCTAGCGACTTGTTGATAAAAGTATATAACAACGAAGCTCCAGCAATTTGGGAAAAGATTACAGAAGTAATGGTTTATTATAACAGCCTTACATAAAAACACTCTTCTCAGAAAGACAGGTGATCTGTGATGCTGGCCAAGCCATGCCATACACCCTAGCTTCCAGCCAGAAACAGGCTTGAAATGACATGGTTGCATCATAAAGAGAACTGCATAAGGATCATATGCCATTGTAGTCAACAGGTGGCAATTCACAACAACAAAAGCACAGTAGAAGAACTGAGCTGTGCATTCTCGGTGAAAGAAATACGCTTTGGGGTCAGGAGGCTGGAGAGACGCCTCAGTGCTTAAGCGCACTGACTGTTCTTCCAGTGATCTTCAGGGATTCTGACTGTTCTTTCTTTAATGCTCCCCGTGGTGAAATGCGTCGTTCTAAAACACACCTTCTGTGGTCCATGAATTTATTTATTTTTGTTTAATTAAGAGATAATTACACATTTTTCCTTTATTCTTCTCCCCTCTATTCCTCCCAGGTCCCAGTTTTTATTTCCCTTATGCTCAGGTGAAAAATGTTTCACTGTCCACCAGGGGGCGATAGAGCACAGTAAGTCGAATACAGTTGTTAAAGTAGGACCTCTTCTCCAGCAGTCTATTGTTCAGGGATGAAATCACAAATCTAAGACCCTGACTAAATACGTGTTATCTGCAAGTATAAGAACTTGGACGTCACAGCAGACAGCTTAGTGATGGGACAGACAACAGACAAAGCAGAAAAGCAGGGGATGATTTAGACGAGCAGACAAGACCCCACACCTAGTGCTTGCTCCGTTTTTTTGGCACAGATACCAAAAAGTATGTAGAATGCCCCAGGAACAAAACAGAAGTTCACAATCCGCAAACGTCTGAGAAGCATTTATGTCGAGAGACTAAAGAATTCACCTGGGATTTGCTACACCAGAGGGAGGTCTCTCAACTGTGCCGAATATGGATGGTACTACAGCTACTAGTTCATTGTGGTAGGGACGGTTCCTCCCAGGTGAACTATCCGGAGCCTGCATGGTGTCACCAGCACATCCTAAGAGCTTCATTTGGAAGAGCAGAGGGATTTGAAATTTTCTTTCCATGTTCCTCAAAGTATCAATACTTTTTATTTCAGAATGGACATCAACTCCTGCCCTTAGGTGAATAAAGAATTCCATCTCTTTGAATACACACACACACACACACACACACATATAACACATATATGTGTGTATGTATATATATATATGTATGTTCTACTATATTTCAATGAATACAGTAAAAACAAAAATTCTGAATTTTATATTTCAAGTAGTTAAGCTTGTTTATTTAAAAGCCAGTTTCAAGACAATAGTTTAACCTTTCAAGAAGCTCAAATATTAAACAATTCAAATGTTATTGACAACGTTTAGTCTCTGATTTCACAAAAATAAATGCCCCCCAAAAGCACAGTGTTCCATCCACACTAATAAAGCAAAATAACAATACGTACTTATTTTCTACTTAACAACTATTTAGAAGCGGTGTAGGTGCTTCTGGGTAGGAAGATAATGGGACACCTCAGAGAGTGGTAGACTCCATCCTCAGAGTCTGGGTAGGAAGATAATGGGACACCTCAGAGAGTGGTAGACTCCATCCTCAGAGTCCAATGCCACCCTTGTCTTTTTCATTCAGAATAATCAGACCCTAGTGAAACCTCATGACTCATAAGACCACACTGCATCTCTGCATACTACTCTTCACAACACACAAAGATGCACTGAGTCTCTTCTGTGTCCTTTAAGACTCACAAGGATGCTGATTCTCTTCTGTATCCTTACCAAAGCATCCTCATTTGTTTAACAAAGCTCTCCATTTCACAGGAATTGTCGCCTTTGTACAAACTTACACAGGGCAACTTTGACATCTTTATTCCTCAGACTGTAGATCAGTGGGTTCAGCATGGGTACAATGATGGTATACAATATAGATGACACTTTACCTTGGTCCATGGAGCTTGCTGATGACGGCTGAAGGTACATGAAGGCTAAAGATCCAAAGAAGAGAGCAACAGCCAAGATGTGGGAACTGCAAGTACTGAAGGCTTTGGACCTGCCCTCAGTAGAAGGAATACCTAGGATGCTGGCAATGATGAAGAAGTAGGAGATGAGAATGCTCAGAGCTGGGAAAATAATATTAAATGAGCTCAAGGACAGACCTAGTATTTCATTGATAAACGTACTGGAGCAGGATAGTTCCAGGAGTGGTAAAAGATCACAGAAGTAGTGATTTATATCATTAGCTTTGCAGAAAAGCAGTCTAAGCAGACAGACTGTTTCACCTGTGGCACAAGCTAAGCCTACACTATACACCCCCAGGACCATCCAGGAACACACTTTGTGGGACATGGTAACATTGTACAGCAAGGGGTTGCAGATGGCAACATAGCGATCATAAGCCATGGCAGCCAGCATGTGACACTCTGAAACAGCAAAAACATCAAAGAGGTAAAACTGAGCCATGCACCCAGCATAAGAGATGACGCTCTTGTCCGTGACAAAGTTCTCCAGCATCTTGGGTGTGATGACACTGGACTGGCAGAGGTCAACAAAAGACAGATGACTGAGGAAGAAGTACATGGGGGTGCGCAGGTGGGAGCTGAGCAGGATTAGCACAACCATGCCCAGGTTTCCTAGGACTGTTACTACATAGATTCCTAAGAAGAAAAAGAACAGGGGCAACTGAAGCCCAGACATCTCTGTTATTCCACTGAGGATGAACTCTTGGATGGTGGAATAATTTCCTTCTGCCATTTTCTTCTAGGATTCTGTGCTGAAAGAAAAGTAAGTTTTAAGACAGACAATTAATATATTTTCACATAACAAAGTTGCTTAAAGAATTTGAGTCTTCTCAACCAGGTATCTCCAGTTCTCTACATGTTCCTAGTCAATATTTTCATTTAGATCCCTGGAGACCAAATATATGAAGCATGTAATGCAATATCAGACAAAACAATCTCCACTTATGCTGCAGACTCGGTGAGTGCTCACATGTAATATTCAAATATAAATCACACAAAAATTACTCTGATAAATGGACTTGAGTGTTTCTATAGATTCCCATGTCCAATTTGTAATCAGATTAGGACTGCAGAAAGAATGCCCTTTTTGATATGTTGAGATCATGACAGTATTGGTAAAAGTCAGAGAGCAATATCACACTTAATAGTGACAGTCTAAAAGGTTCCACCTCTTCCTTATTTAAAAAAAAAAGATTTTTTTTTACCCTTTTCATTCTTCTTCAGGTTCATACCTTAGGAGCTAATTTAGACAATGGAGAAACAAGGTATAATCATCAGCAGACTGGTAGGACAGAAAAAGTGAAAATTGTCTCTGTAAATTATAGTAAAGTTTTTTGATTTTTCAAGACAGGGTTTCTCTGTGGCTTTGGAGCCTCTCCTGGAACCTGCTCGGTAGACCAGGCTGGTCTCGAACTCACAGAGATCCACCTGCCTCTGCCTCCCCAGTGCTGGGATGAAAGGCATGCACCACCAATTCCCAGATAAATTATAGTAAATTAAATAATGTTGTATATATTAAATTCCAACCGATACGGACGATAACTACTACCTACAATTAGAGCTATGTAAGATCTAAACAATCTCAAAATAAATAGTGTTTCTCCAAACTTGCAACAAATAACAAAACAACCCAACTGAAATAACATGAAAGCAATGACGTACACAGAAAAAAAAAGGAATTAATGAAAGGTTGATGCTCCTCATCCCCTCTGTTTGACCTTGATGTAGGGTCATTTGGAAACTTAGCAAAGTAGAAATATATGAAATCTAAATTGGAATAAGTAGCAGGGAAGACAAAGTCCCAACTAGACATCTCTTGCCACCAAATGAAACCTCGAGGGCAAGGAATGGATTATATCTAAACAAGTTATTGGCCAAAAGTGTCCCATGGAAACCCTCAATCAACCAAGGCTATTGCCTGATAGTATGGCCTTATTACTGAAGACAGCATCTACATAAGTTATTGAACAAATGAGAAGTCAAGCTGATGCCTACATAGAGCCTTCACCCTGTCTGACTAGTATTCATGTTACTAGAAGGAACTCTGCATACTACCAAAAGAGAAATGTGAACTCCAACCAGCTACAAACACTTTGAACAACAATGGTGACCTATTTGCCAGATACATGGGTGCAATACTAACTTAAAAGTTGAGGGAGTAACTAACCACAATCTACTTGACCCACTCCATGAGATGGTACCCATGCCCAATATGCCCGGGTAGATAAGAACCTAAGAGTAGATAGGTCAGGGGCCTAGAGGAAACCATATATTATTGTTATGCTAAAGAAATAAAAATGACTCCTAGTGACATTTTGCTATACTCATAGATCGGTATCATTCTCAGTCATCATCTGAGAAGCATCTTCCTACAGTAAATGGGAACAAAAACAGAAACCCCCAAGTAGACAATGTGCAGAGGTGATAGACCTTGGAACACTCAACCCTAAATGGGTCATCTCCATAAAATTCCTCCCCTCAGTGCCTTCCCTGCAGTCCCTTCTGCAGAGAACTCTGCAGAAGAGGAGGCAAAAAGAGAATAAGCTAGTGACAATGGAAGATGCCAAGGAAACTAAGCCTTTTAAACACATTGGGCTGACGCACACATGAATTCACAGAGACTCATCATTGTCTCTGTGTGTAGGCATTCCTTCCACTTTTTCTTTGCTCTGTTTTTCCTGTTTGTTCCGTCCTACTCTGATTTGTTTTATTTTATTTCATCTTACTATTTTTGGAATGACTTTTTGGATTCTAATGAAAGAGAGAAATAAAGGGTGTAGATTTTGGAGTATGGGAAAGTGGGAAGATCTGGAAAGAATTAGGGAGACAACACTATAATCAGAATTTCCTGTATGGAAAAAAGTATATTTTCAGCAAAACTGTAAGATGTTGTTAAGAGAATAAAGGCTGTTTTACATAAAATCTATGTTCAGGTATCAAATGCATCAACTTCATGTAAATGGCAAGTAGTCATTCTGAAATTGATTTTCCAGTACAATATATTATCTAAAGGAATCCTTCCCTTGTAATTGTGTATGTTGAGAAGATGATTCTTAAATATTCATAATAATGCAGTAAACCTGAAATAATCAATGGAAGTTTGAAAGAGAAGAATAAAGTTGGAGGTTTCATATTTCCCCATTATAAAATTTTACAAAGTTGTAAGACTATAAACCACTTTCAAAATTATAGCAGCATAGATTAGGAAACTGGAATAGACATGACTCATTGTGTTATCCCACTGATTAGTTGTGTTTTAAAAGGGAATCATAAAATTCAACGAAAAAAGAAAAAATTTAAACAAATAGTATTGGAATAATTAAATAGTTACATAGGAAATAATTATTTTAGATCACTTTCTCAAACCAACCATAAAACTTCACCCAAACTTGTAACAGACCTCCATGAAAATGCTAGCTTAATATAGTATTATTTAAAGCCTGTATGTATGTAAACTTTGATAATGGTATCTTAGAAAAAATGTCAAAACTACCAACTTAGATAGACCAAATTAATGTGTATCCAGAGAATTATTGAAAATAGTTTTAAAAGAAGAAAACAGTGTAGATCTAAGTCTAGGTATTTAACAACATCATCCAGAAAATGAAACAGACTGTACACAGAATAGGATAAAGTATTTCATGCACTATGCCTGAGGAAGGATTTGTAGTCATATTTTAAAGTACTCTTGCACATTAGAAATTAGAGATGGCCAGATAATTGAAGAACATATTTTGATATGGTCTCAATAGCATGTGAGTGATGACTTTCAGGTGATGTCAGAAAGTCCCCCATGGTTATGGGAATGCTAATCTACAAGGGAGTTTTTCAACATGCTGAGTTAAAAAGTACCAGGACAAATGAAATTAAGGTACTCACGCTTCCTCTACTTATAAAACTCTATCCAGATCAGATATAAGTTAGACTAAGTACTTTCTGTAAAACAGTACTCAAGATGAAGCTGGTGCCAGTGATTCAAAACAATCTTCTGGACCTCTTTGCTTTCCACATCAGATGGCAGACATCAGTTTCTGTGTGGGTCATATATACATTATGAGCCAAATGTTGTGATTCATCAAATAGTTTCCTCATGCTTCAACCCAAAGAACCCACCAAAATGACTTATTTTTCATGAAAGTTTGATATATAAGCAACGCCATAACTATTTATAGAAGGCAACTCCCCGAAGAAAAACATTCATCCAGGATCAATTGCTGAGAAGTAAAGCAATTAAAAGTTGCCTTTGACACTCTTTAACTCCCTTGTGTATAATTGTCTCTCTGTTGTAAACTGTAGCAATACTTAAGTTAAGACTAGGAATTAAGACAATCAAGTATGGTTCTTAAATAGCTTTATTGTGGCAACTGCCTACCAAAAAAACATATTCCAAAGTTTAAAGCTATTCTTTCTATTCTTTTCTGTCTTCTTGGAGAATTAACTAACATATTGTCATTTTTATTGACAGTTTCTTCATTTTTGATCATTTTCTGGCTTTCAATACATTTAGGATATCTTCAATAAAGGGGCTGTTGGTGAACACAGTGACTTGAAGAACATGGAAAAAGGAGAAGAAATTTTAGTACTAAAGCCAATGTGAACCATGTAGACACTGTAATATAGTTGGCGATGTTACTGGATCATATTTTTCATGATGTTGTGGTAGCTGGATTCAGGTCTTTCATTTAAAAATTGCATATAAACAATGAGAGATATAGAATCTGAATTTTAGGTCACTAAATGAGAATGGTAAGCCCCTATACACTGGTGTGTGTCTCAGTCTGTATATGTGTATTATATTATAAATATAATAATATATAAGGGATTCATCATAGACAAATAATTAGAAATATGTTGATTAGCATTTATTATAATTATAATTTACTAAACAAATTACTAAGAAACAACTACATTCAAATACCAACATACACATCCAGTTCCCCCAGGTGTTTTGTGATTATATTATCATTATTTTGTAAAGGTAACCAAAACTTCTTAGAGAGATGTCTAATGGTGTTTCCTTGTAATTTTACTACTTGATATTTGAAATGTTTATTGTTTGACATATTCTTGCATTCATAAAATGCATTTCCTGGTTCTCAAATTTTTAGCAGATGCTGTTCAGTGTTAAGGAAAAACAACCCAGTCTTTTTAGTAATAAATATCTTACACTTTATTTACCTCAAGGTATAAACATAATAAAATCAGGAAAACATTAATTATAGAACCTAAATTGTCTAGGGTATATAATCAATTAGAAGATCCCATTTACATTGACCCTAAATTATTTTAGTACCTAGTATATAGCAATGCTCTCTTTATTTTGATTCCCTTACTGTTCTTGAATCAGTTTCATTTTTAACCAGTTTGAACAAATGTCAATACATCAATCTATACATATGGTGAATTCAGCATCTTGCCCAGGCAGTATTTGCTTCCCTGTTATTGCTAGAAAGGCAGGACTCTTTATAATATTTGTCATAGTTGGGTGTGTAAAGGTCAGAGCTGACCTTTCACATACAGGCTCATACAGGCCAATCTCTTGGCATGCCTTTGCACTAAAACATCGTGCATATAGATGGGTCCTGCTGAAGAAAAGTAAATACTGACAGTGCATTTGCTCATGCAGACTACAAGTACACTCCACTATGGTCTCATAGGATTGTATGTCTAGTGATTTGGCAAGCATCTTAGCTTGTGAAAGTACATTTTATGGTGGTCACACACAACAGAATC